TTCTTGCTTAGCTGGTCCAGGTAGCCTAGTGTCATTGCTCTGCTGGGCATCCAGATGAAATGGACAGTGGTCTGGAGACTTCCTGTGGCCTTAGGACAGACCTGAGCTGCACACTGCTGTCCACACTGCAGACCCTCCTTACTGATGAGAATTAAAAGAATCCTCATTTGCCAGACGAGTGGTTGCTCCTGTCAGGTGGGAGCTGCACCTATGTTATCCAGCAAAGGTGCCAAACTGCTAGGTTCTGAAGCAAGGGCATGCTCTCTACAGCAGAGGACTATACACCCTCAAAACGGAGCTCCTGCATGCTGCCAGGTCTTGCAAAGACAGAACAACTGACCATGTGCAGCAAGTGACAGTGAAACCAGAGCTTCTGCGTCTGCCCCACCAAGTCCTAACTCCTAAGCTGGCAAATTGTCTACAACTTGGGCCGCGTGCTTAAATGTGTGCAGTCCACTGTTAACCTGGTATTGACAATCTGGCTTTTATTGGGGTCAGACTAGTGTGTAAAATGGGGGTGAGACAGGGCCACCCCTGCATTCTCTGTCTTTGAGGGTGATATGAATCTCTGCCATTCCCCAAAGGTGGTATTGTCTCTGAGTCAGTGTCTTGTGGGGCATCGGGGCTGAAAACTTAGAGACTTCCACTTGGCCTGCCCCACTAGGACTCAATGTGAGGGCTCAGACTTCCCAAGCAGGCTGGCCCAATGACACATTCAGTGCCAGGTCCTCACTTTCACAGGGGACAGGTGGTGCTTGGGACCCTATTCCCAGTGGCCCTCAGACTGTGTGCTCCCTTTCTTCAATGGCTGGACACTCAGTGCCTTCCTCATCGGGCCCAGTGGTTCTCCTGCCAGTGGCTTCTGGATCTATGATAAAAACTGGCTCAGCTTTGAAAATTGGGCAGAGGAGCAGGGTGGTTGGAAGGAGGGTGCTTGCTCTCAGCACCCTGGTCACCTGGGCTCATAAATTAGCAACACCTGGTGGGCACCCTGTTCTATGAACCTCCACAGGTCTCTGCAGCTGAGTCCCACCTGCCAGTCAACCTGCACCCATTGCATCACCACTCGACCTGGCTCCTGACAGTCCGCTGCCCACCTGCCCTCTGTTATTTTGGCTCCAACAGTCTCCATGGCTATCAGGCGAGACCATTTCTGGGCACCAGCTCCTGCAGCCAGCTGGCCCATGGAGAACAGCTGTCACCGCGGTTCTCCTGGGTTCTGGTGCCCCTTACCTGTGCTTCCTTGTCACCGCAGGCAGAATGTCCTCAGCTCCATCTGCCCTGCCTAGGGTCTTCAATGCTTTTCTGCACCATCCACACAGCAGGTCCGACACTTCTGCTTTTGGGGCAGCTTCCCTTTCTCCCCTCTTCCCAGCACTATCCTGGCTGGAGGAACACTGACTGCCTGCTGGAGTTCTTGCCAGGGTGACAATCTAATGTCACAGAACTGCACCTACACCGATCAACTCTATCGTCCCACTTCCCTCCAGCCTGCAGTTGCAGGGTCCAATCCTGCCTGGCTCCCAGCCTTCCCAGTACCTGTCAGCCAAACTCCTCTGGGCCCCCTCCCTCAGCAGCCGGGTGCTCCCACTGAGGTGGGCTGGGGTCAGCCCTTATTACTGTCTGCATCAGGAGAGGAAGGTGGGGAAATCTGAGAGGAGGCACCATCTTGAGGGGCCTGCCTGGTCTTCTGGGAGGTGGAAGGTCTTGCTGGTTCCATCCAGGCCTCTTCCTCTGCCTAGGGCACACCTGCTGAGCACCTGACCCCGCTCCCACTCAGAAATGGTCTTCCCATGCATGTCTCCCCCTCCCAGGTCTGCGTAACTGTGAGTAACTAACTCAGCAAATTTTCATTGAGCACCTATGTGTATCAGGTGCTGTTCTAGGCAGTGGGGACACCACATCAGCAAAACGGACACAAATCCTCGCCAGGGGAGACAGAAAATAAATAAAACAAGCAAATGGGATCTCTACTCAGCCAGTGGGCGATAAACTCAAGGAGGAAATTGCAGCAAGAAGGGGGTGGGGGCAGGGTGAAGGAGGTGCAGGGGGCTTGGCTGGGATGATTCCCCAAGGAGCAGAAATGAAGGCAAGGGAGGAAGTGGACCAGGCAGAAGGCACAAAGGACTTGGGGCAGTAGGTACTTTAGTGTTCACACCAGTGGCCAGAGTGTCTGGTGCTGGGGTTGGGGGGACTTTAGTGGAGTCAGAGGTCATGTAGGGCTATAGGGCCTTGCAAGGGCGAGGCTGTCAGCAGGGTGGAGCCATAGACTGGTCAAACTGGGATGAGGAAAGAGAGGCAGGCATGGGGAGAATCGTACCAGAGCTGATGGTGGCCTGGACCCCATGGTGCCAGGGAGGGGAGAGGCTGATTCTGGGCTGGTTACGGTAGTGCTGACAGATGGGCGTGGGACCCAAGTGATTAGAGCGACATGGAGGTGGTGGGTGGGGGCTGCCCAGATGAAATGGGCTGGGGCGAGGAGAGAGGGGGAAAGAGTGAGGAGCTCACCTGCCTGTTGTGAGATGGCCCACAGGGAGCTCAGAGCTGCTCTGTCCTGGGCATAAGGGTGGGAGTTGCCAGGGGGAAGGTGGAATTAAGCCACCAAGGAAGTAGGTGCAAATGTGAGGGAAGAGACCCAGGGACCGGGTCCTGGACTTTCCAGAGATTTGGGGGCCAGCAGAGAGGCTGTAGGGGGAGTGTGGTGTCCTGACGGCCAGGCGGCAGAGGTGTTGTGAGAGGAAAGGGAAGAAGAAAGGCCAGGGAATGTGGACAGGGGCTCAGGAGGAGGGGGCAGCGGGGCCTGGCAGCGCACCCCCTCCAGCCCGCTGGCCTCTCAGCCACTGGCCCGAGCTGAACTCCCCCTGAGCGGGCTCCCCACCTGCAGAGCCTGAACCCACCCCGCAGCTCTGAAACCCTGGCTCTAAAAATAGATGCCACCTGGGAGAGTAGACAGATGGGAACCGTGTCCCTGGCCACCGGCATCCTGGCTCACAGCTGGCCGGCCCGCCAGCTCGCTTCACGGGCAGTGGGCTGGACAAGCCGGGGCTGACTCTCCTGTGGCCTGGCGCATCCCAGCATGTTCCTGGCAGAGGAGGAGGCTGGTGACATGGTGTGCAAGCTTCAGGGGTGGCCCCAGCCTCACCAGTACTGTCTATACCCCAAGAACCAGCTGTGGAGCATGAACCTTGATGCCAGGCTACCCAGCCTCACGGAAGCCTTTCTGCTCACTGCACACCTTTGGGCAGGTCCTATGATCTGTCTGTGCTTCTAGATCCCCCAGGTAGCACCCATCTGTGGGGCTGTGTGCGAATCTGGGAGTTAGAATGTGCCATGTGCCCAGCAAAGGCTGGGGCATGTGGAGCTCAGAGAGGCCAACCCAGTGCCACCTTCATCCTCTCAGCTCTAGGGACCTGCCCTGTACTGGACTGCCTACGTCCCCCCTCACGGCCTCCCAGCACCAGCTCAGAGTCCTGGGCGGCCTTCGATGGCATCTCTAGTGACTGCTCCTTGGCCTTCCCCGGACAGGATTGCAGCTCATTCCTGCCTGTGACTCCAAGGACCCCTACCATCTCTGAGGAAGGGGAGTCATCCTGTTTTGTTAATGTCGGGCATGGCCACATGGTATTTTGGCCAGTGGGATGTGGAGGGACTGATGTTTGTCAATCTGAGCAGCAGCTCTGGGGGTTTGCAAGGGTTTCCACCACCAGCTCACTGTTTTTCCTTTATGTGAGAAATGAATGTCGCCCACAAAGCTGGTTGTGTGACCGGAAAGAGAATAGCCACAGCCAACCGGTTGCTGCCTACACATATTGTGAGAGAGAAGTGTGTGGTCGAAAGCCACAAAGCTTGGGGGGTTGTTTGTTACCAGGCAAAACTAACTCATACACCAAGCAGTATGCCGCCTCGTTGCACTAACACTTGTTAAAATCAACTTTATTTCAGTGCAATTTACCTACAGTCAAAAAGCACACATTTCTTTCGTCAAGACAGAGGACATTTCCAGCACTTTGAACCTCCTTAAAATTGGCCCCCCTTTCAATCAACGGTCTAATTTCCGTCTTTATGAGATTATTTTGATCATTTTTGGAACTTTGCATGAACAGAGAGGCATCGGCACTGTGTCACCAGTTTGTTCTCTGTTGCTGAGCAGTATCTCAGCGTTTGAACACAGTGTGTCTGTTGACTATTTTTTACTGTTATGAATGTACGGGCAGCTATGAATACTTGTACATGTGCATTTTAATTTCTTTCAGACAATTTCTTTCAGAATAAAATTCCTGGTTATATTTTCGGTTTCTTTATTTTTATAATAAATTTCCAAACTTTTCTCAAGTGGTTGTTCTAATTTTACCACCAGCACATGGGAGAGTTCAAGTAGCTCTGCATCCTCACCATTATCTGATACAGTTAATTTAAAAAAAAATTAATTTGGTCTTTCTAGCAAGTGCGCAGTAACAGCCCATTAAAGTTTTATTTGGCATTTCCCTGATGATTAGCATATGAGCTTATTGGTCATTTGTATGTTCTCCTTTATTGAAGTGTCTTAGTGTTTGGGCCACTTTTTATTGGGCTGTTTGTATTTTTATTATTGAGCTTTCAGAGTTCTTTATAAATTATCAATACAGGTTCTTTGTTGTCTGTGTACTAGGCCTATTTCCCCCTTGGCTTGCTTTCTTGTTTTCCTAATGGTATCTTTGATGAGTAAAGTAAAGCAGGTGGCTTTACGTTTGATGAAATCTGATTTTCCTGTTTTTCTCCCACAGCGAGTGCTTTCTGTGTCCTAAGAAATCGTGGCTGGTAGGTTTTTCTCCTGTTTCCTTCCAGAAGCCGCGTGCTGTTTGTGCTGACAAATAGGCCTCTGTCCCATTTGCATGAGCCTCCTTCCCATGGTGCCAGGCTCAGGGGGCGGCTGTGTTCCCACATGGGCACCAGTCATCGCCACAGCTCAGCAGGTCATTAAGGAGACCTCCTTTCCTCTGGAGCTGTCTGCGCTGCTGTGAAAGTGACAATATGGGCATTGCTCCCCCCGCTCCCTCCCACCACAGCCCTGGGTCTTCCTCATCATGTCCCAGTGGCTACCCCCATCCCATGTGCTCAGCAGCCTGGGCCTAGGCTCTCTTGCCCACTGTATGAGTGTCCTGGGGTTGCTGTAACAAAGGACCATAAACTGGGCAGCTAAAGACAACAGAAATGCCTCCTCTCTCAGTGCCGGAGCCAGGTGTTTGGGTGAACCAGGTGAGTGGCCATGGGGGCCTGGTCTGGACTCAGGCCCCAGAGGTGGAGCTTCTGGGTTGACCCAAGAGGTATTTGCAGGTGGAGTCCCTGAGGCCCGGTCACTGCAGGCAGAGACTGTGACAGGAGGCTGGATGGAGGAGAAGGGGCAGAAGGCAGGCCATGGAGAAAAGAGTTGGGAAGGCTGGAAGTATGGTCTGGATCTGCGAGAGAGGGGCAGAGAGGGGAGAGGCTAAGCGTGTCAGTTAGCCAGGGAGGCCCCTTGGGTCAGACAGGTTGAGGAGGGAAGGAAAGGGCCATCCTTGGGGATGGGGTGAAGGGCACGTGGGAGATGGGGAGGGGAGGGTTGGGTGGGAAGGGGAGTAGTGGGAAGGCTCCAAGGAAGACCAGGCAGGTTTAAGTTTAGCTAGAAGAGCAAAAAGCCCCAAATTGCGGCAGATTGGCCAAAGCTGGAGTCTGTACTCTGGCTGGGAGAGAGGGAGAAGCCCCCCAGGTTTCTGCTCCCCATCTTTGGTGAGGGGTGTTCATGGGCAGGGGGGAGGAGGGGCGGGGGGGGGGGGAAGAAAGGCTGAGGCAGGTGGGTGAGGCTGTGAGTTGCCTTCCCTGGTCTCTGGGTGGCGCTGTGATTGGGGCCCCTCACAGTTTGGACAGAGCTCATTAAAGTCCTGCTTCCCTCTAACGATGTGACAAGAGAGTGCAGGCACCTTTTATTCGTTAATGAGGGCTTTTCACTTGGCGGCCTAATCGCCTGTAATCACAGCGGAGCCCTGGCCTTTCCCTGGGAGGCCGAGGCTGTCCCTGTGACTCTGCCGGTCCTGACAGGTGGGCATCTTCCAGCTCTTGGCCTTGGTGTTTCTGGCTGCACAGTGGGGTGATGACAGTGTCTCGTTTGTGCTGGTTCCAAGGAAACACCAATGGGATGGCCGTGCAGTCCTGGAGGCGGTCATGGCCCAGCCACACTCTTGCTGTCTATGAGAGGCCTGTTCCGGCTGTGTCGTCACTGCCCTATGAGACTGGGATATCCTTTAGCTTCCCGCCCCTCCCCCCGCCCCACTCTGAGCCCAGAAGGGCTGCTGTACCTGCACCTTCCTCCACCCAGTGCCCTCTGGGTGTGGGACCCCCATGTGAAGGAAAGAGGAATCTGGTTGGGACAGCTCCCCCAGACCTCCAACTTCACCCTCTCTGGGACCCCGGTGAGTGAACCCAGGAATACTCATCCTTTCCACCTGCCTGCTCTCTCCTTCACCTTCTGCCATCATGACTAGATGGAAAACTCCCCAAACGGCCCCCCTCCCCCAGGGACACCTGGGGCCTAGGCTCAAACATTTCCCACCCCTATCCTCAGGGAGGGGGCTGGGGGGAGGTCCTTCCCCTCTAGCCCAGGTGTTTCTCTCTCTCTCTTTTTCAAATATATATTTATTTGATTGGCTGCCTCTGCACACCCCCTACTGGGGATCAAGCCTGCAACCCAGGCGTGTGCCCTGAGCAGGAAATGAACCTTGACCTCCTGGTTCATGGGTCCATGCTCAGCCACTGAGCCATACCAGCAGGGCCCAGTGCTTCTCTCTTGCTCTGAGTATCCCATCCCCCCCCCCCCCATACAATCACCTGAGGCCCCATGGGAGTGGCCCTCACACACCCACCCCCCTGCCTGGTCCAGGCTGCATGGGGGGGTCTAGGTGATAGGCAGGCCTGGAAGAGGGAGGTGACCCCACACGGTGTGGTCCCCTCAGGCGACTGGCGGGAACAATGGCTCAGCCAAGTACCTCTGGGGCTCCCGGTGACGAGGCGATGCAGCACGATGCAGCATTTCCAGCCTTGACCTTTCTCTTCTTAGTGACAGAAACCGCATCGATCCCACCAGCCCAGCCTTTCTGTTCTTCAGCGTGAAATCTGGAAAATAACACGTCCCAAATGGCAGGCGGCCGCCCTCCCCACAGGCTCTCTGCTTTCTGCTTTTCAGATAAACTGGAGCCATTTCCATCCCAAGCCCTTCCGGGGGCAGCCTCTGGTTGTCACACTGTTTACGACGAAGATGCAAGTCCCCAGGATGCGGTTCCACTCCCACAAACGTGGACACGCTAAGTGCCAGGGCAGGGCCACTGTGTTAAGGCAGGCTGGACTTGCTGCCAGAGCAAATTACTCCCCAAAATTTATATCCCACTCACAAAAATATCCATGTGGATGGAGAGCGCCCCCCTTCCTCCCGCCCCCTCGGAAGGAGGCTGCTCAGCTGTGAGGAGCCGGAGGTGTGGGTGCATGTGCACTCAGGGGGCAGCATGCTGTCCTGCTGTCTCAGGTGTCCTGAGCTCAGCTCCCGTTGCCAGCGCTCTCCTTGCTCAGCGCTGATTCCCACCCTTGGCTTCCTTTGCACCTTCAGCTGCACTGTCACCGAGCACCTTCTCCGGGGCAGGCTCTAGACTTGTCCCTGCGGCTTTGGTGTGGGTCAGGATGCCATCCATCCCTCGAGGGGCTCTCCGCCAGGTGAGGACGGTGGGGTGCCCTGGTGCTGCTGTGACCACAGACAGGAAGCTTTAAACAATGGGAATCTATCCCTCCCAGCGCTGGGCACAGTCTGAAATCCAGGCGGCACCACACTGCACTCCCTCCAGCGGCTCTGAGGAGGGTCCCCCGGGAGCCTCATGGTGTTCCTTGGCTTGTGGCTGCATCCTTCCAGCCTGTGCCCGTGTCCTCACTTGGCCTCTGCCCATGTCTAAATCTTTCTCTTCTTGCTCAGTGGATAGAATGACTGAAAGGTCCCAGGTTTGATTCTGGTCAAGGGCATGTACCTTGGTTGTGGGCACATCCCCGGTAGAGGGTGTGCAGGAGGCAGCTGGTCGATGTTTCTCTCTCACAGACATTTCTAGCTCTCTATCCCTCTCCCTTCCTCTCTGTGGAAAATCAATAAAATATATATTTTTTAAAATAAATCTTTCTCTTCTCTGATAAAAACTATAGCCATTGGATTTGGGGCCATCCAATCCAGGATGATCTCATCTCGAGGTTCTGTACTTCATCACGTCTGCAAAGACCCTTTCTCCAAACAAGGACACGGCCATGTCTTTGGGGGAAACTGTTCAATCCAATACAGGGGCATTGATGACACTCAGCACTCAGAGGGTGGGCCCTCACAGCGAGCTGCTTCCACGCTGTTTCCGTTCATGGAGTCACAGGGATACGACCCCCCAGACTCACACCTGAGGGAGGAGACGCAGGCTCGGCGAGCAGTTGCAGGCAGAGCCCCCTCGGTGTCAGACCCGTGCCGGATGGAGCCCGGCCCTGCAATTCCTCTCTCCGTCACGAGTTGCCAGCTCGGAGCAAAGTGACTGTGACTGATAACCTCTCGGAACTTCAACTTCCTCATCTGGGGAAGGGAGATAAACAGGGCTCCCCCATCCAGATCCGAGGAGGTGGTTGGTGCTGGAGGGATGCTGGAGGGATGGAGGCTTGAACTCACCTGTCCTTGACCCTGACAGGCTCCTCTTGAGAGCAGGCGCCCAGGATCCTCCTCCAGGGCTGTGGGTTCAGGTTCCTTGTCATTAATCCCTCCCCATCAAGGCTGGGCTGGGAATCCAAGATCTGGGCGAGGGGTGGAGATGGGCCGAAAGGGGGTCTTGGATCTGGAGGGTGTGAATCACTTGGGAAGGAACCCACAAAAGGAGGGAAGCAAAAGGCAGAGGGAGAGAGGCAGCTGGGAATGGGAGAAGGGCGAGACTGGAGGCCAGGAGGGCAGAGGTGGGACGGGAAGCCCCCCACCCCCCGCCGCTTCTCTCCTGTCCCAGCCTGGCCAAGGGGCAGGGGCGGCAGAGGGATGTAAGCAACCGTCAGCCTTGCCTTGCCTTGATGCAAAGAAAATATTCCCTGAAAGACATTAAAATGAAGTAAATAAAAGAGATAAAAATGGAAATATCAAGGCAGCAACTTCTTCTCTTCTGATTACAAAGCAGGCGGCGGGGGAGGCGGGGTGCGGGCCTGGCAGACGCAGCTGCAGCAGCCGGGCCGGCCTGATAAGGGCCCGGCCGCCTGCGCCCGGGAGATAAAGCCGGTGCCATGCTGCCTGTCCCCAATCCCGCCCGGCCATCAATATTCACATGGCCCCGCCAACTGGCGCTGCAGATAGATTAAATATAGACGGCTGCTGCTGCTGTGACCGAGACCTTATTAATCCGCCTGCAGGCATTTAAATGCTGGGGAGAACCGAGTCTAGAGCGTAGCCGTCAAGAGCTTGACACTTCCCCCTTTTCTTCCCTTTCCACCCGCCTTGACCATTGTCTCCCTGTCTCCAGCTTCACCTGGAAGTAAAGTTCCCAGATTCAGGTGGAGGACTCCCGGGGGGAGGGGAGTCCAGACACCTGACAGAGGTCACTCCTATCTGGGGAGGGAGCTGAGTGACCTCCCAGCCAGGGGCTTTGGGGCCTGAAGTCATCCCGGAAGGAAATGGCTTGACTTTGGCACCAGAGGCCCTGCAGACCGTGGTGGGGGCTGGGGCAGCCTCGCTCCTGAGTCCTTTGTGTGGGGGGTGCGGCCTTTTCCTCCGGAGCCGTCTGCCGGCTGGCTGCCGGAGAGGAAGGCTGAACAAACAAGCACACAAACAAGCTACAATTACGGGAAAGGGAAAGTAAGGGATGTGGCCAGGGCAGAGTGTGGGCTGTGGAGAGAAGGATGCCCACTCTGCTCGCATCCCTCCGTGGCTCGCACCTCCCTTAGTGAGCAGCCCAAGCCCCCACCCCCACCTCAAGGCCTGGCCTCCTCTCTCAGCCTCTAGTGCACTTGTGTGTGTGTGTGTGTGTTTTCCCCATTTTTTCTTTTAATCTTTATTGTTGAAAGTATTACATAGGTCCTCCTTTTCCTCCCCCATTAACCTCCTCCAGCCAGCTCCCATCCTCACCACCCAGGTCCTCACCACCCCATTGTCTGTGTCCTCGGGTCTGCATATATGCCAGGCTCCATCTGTACAGGCCCTTTGCACATGCTACATTGCCTCTTAGGCGCCTTCCTCCAGATGGCTACTCAGCTCCTTCCCTCACCTCTTTCAAGTCTCTGCTCAAGTGCATCTCTTCAGAGGGGCTGGGCTTGGCAAATGGCAGCGGGAGGGAAAGGACCTGCAGGTGGAGGAACTGCCTTGTGCAGAGGCCCTGAGGTGTCTAATGTGGTTGGGGTGGTTGGAAAGAGAGAGAGAAGCAGACAGGGGTGTCAAGCAAACCAGGCCTCCGGCCATGAAAGATTCTGGGAGTTTTCCCAATAGAAGCATAAGATCACATCCGGGTCCTCTTGGCACAGGGTACACAGCATTCCACAACTGTGCACATGGCACCCTAACATACCGACTGCACCCCAGCACAAACCCCTGACTACCGACTGCACCCTGGGACACAGCACCAAGCACACAGCTCATGCTCAGCTGTCTTATTCGGGCTACTGCAGAAGCAAGCTCTCAGGTGCGCCAGCAGCCAGGTGAAGTGACGCTGGGACTGGCAGGGGAACACCCGGCTGTTATGCACTGGAAAGACAAGAGCCAAAGGGAAACGGCAGAGCACCAGAGCATCTCCACACCAGTGCCTGCTTGCTGAATCCCAGACACAGGGACAGCTGCTGAGGGTACGGACACGACGGTCCTACCAAGGAGCACCCGAAGGAAAGATGCTGAAGCCGCTCTGCACAGCTTCTCCAGGCAGCGCCCATCCCCGTATCCCCACCCCCCTCAGGCTTCTCTCCGTGCTGCCTCTCCTGGATTCTGCTGTCAAGCCTGTCGTAACCAGGTTCCCATGGGGTGGACAAAGGGAAGAGGGGGACCACCTTCCCCTAAAACAAAGCACCAAGGTCCCCTGGCCTTGGAGGGAGGCTAGTGGGTCCCAGGCCCTGTCCTCAGGGTACTCTCCTTCCAGGGGAGGGGCTTCCAGCGTTGGCAGCAGGGATTCAGAGAAGCATGGTCTGTGATGCTAACTTGTGTGTTGAGTCCAAGATTTTAAAAACTATTAGTATGCATTGTACATGGCGAAAGTAACTAGTGTTTGTGAAACTTTGGTTAGGGCAGTGGTCTGCAAACTCATTAGTCAACAGAGCCAAATACCAACAGTACAATGATTGAAATTTCTTCTGAGAGCCAAATATTTTAAACTTAAACTTCTTCTAACACCACTTCTTCAAAACAGACTAGCCCAGGCCATATTTTGTGGAAGAGCCACACTCAAGGGGCCAAAGAGCCGCATGTGGCTCGTGAGCCACAGTTTGCCAACCAGGGGGTTAAGGGGATGATGTGTGAGTATAAGGATCGCCAGCACTGCTCACCAGCCACCCTTTACGCATTCCCTGTCCGTGCTCTCAGAGGCTCCCGGAGCTGGTGGCAGCATCCCCTCCGTTCCGCAGCCGGGGACACTGACGTGCAGGGAGGTTACTGCACATGGTCAGCTGGCATCTTGGGGTCAGCTAGCTCCGTGCTCCAGCTTGAATGTACCACATAGGCCCCCTCCCTTCTCTGAACCTCCATTTCCTTGTCTGCAGAGCACACACTCGGAGATGGTCATAGCTGCTTGCAGACGCCCCTGCAGCACTGCCCTGTGCCCCCGCCTCCTGGGCCCCAGTGGCAGGCAGGGCGAGGCCTCCTTCGGGCTGAGCCAATGCCAGCAAACACATTCAAAGGAAAATGTACAGGACACAAGGAGAGAGGCCATAAGGAAAGCCAAAGTCCTAATTCCCCTGGCTCGCCCGGCACACATGGTGGATGTGAAGAGCCCACCGCGTCCTTGGGGGCACCAGACCCTGCACATTAGTGCAGCTGGCCTCTGGCCAGTGGGGGCCATTTCTCCCCGCACCGTCCTCATAGCTGCTGCTCATCACATCGACTCCAGTGCCATCGCTCCCCTCCCTTGAAGCTGCTCTGCTTCTGCATCTGGCTTCATTCATAAGCAAATGCCAACTCATGCAGATCCAGAGCTCCTAGTCAGCAGAAGCTCTGGGCAAATATCAGCAATCATTAATAATCATTAATGAGAATTATAATGGGCAGGTCTCTCTTGAGAGTGGGCACCCAGTGGGCACAGGGAGCTGTGGCTGACCCATTTGCCCCCAACCTCCCCCCCTACTCCCCACTCTATCACAGTCTGGGCTGTGGCTGCTTCTGTGTGCTTGGGACAGGCCATGTGGTTCTGGGACAGACCTGTCTCCTCTACAAGGTGTGTCTCTGATGGACAGGTGGCCCTAGTGTTTCCAAGTGTAGAGTGTGGCTGGGTGAGCTGGTATCTAGAATTGGCTATCATCCCCCCATCTTTTTCTAAGCTTTGCAAGGAAGACGCATGAACTGGGTGTGGGGTGGGGGTGTCTGTGTAGTCAATGTGAGCCCTGGCTCCTCCTCTTTCAAGCTGTGGGACCCTGGATCAGTCACTTCCTGCTCTGAATCTCAGTTTTTTTCACCTGCAAAATAGGCATAACAGTGCTGATCTCACAGGCCAGTATGGGGCTGACATGAGCTAACATGTGGTGCAGGCAGTGCAACTGGTACAGACGGGTCACAAGGTTTCTGTGGCAACCCCAGCCCTGTTGAATTGGCCAGGCCTGCCCAGGAATGTCAAGCAAATGCATGTCATCCTGGTGGTGATGCCAAGGAGTGTGGGGCGCTGATGCTATAAAATGCCTGGGAGTAGAGGTCCTTCTACAATAAAACTGCACCTCTGGCCATGGTGCTGAACCGTAGGAAATGTTGTGGGAAATATTGCTCCCTTACCCAGGGGCCCCATTCAACCTTTCCAGGCAGCTTGAGCCAGGTGAGAGGCAAGAAAGTGTCAGGAATGATGGGAGAACAGGGGAAATACAGAGAGCCAGGAGGAGAGAAGGAAAGAAAGAGAAACACAGAGAGATAGTGGCAGAAGGAGATAGATAGTGGCAGAGAGAGACAGATAGTGGCAGAGAGATAGAGACAGAGAGATAGTGGCAGAGAGACACACAGAGATGTAGATAGTGGCAGAGAGCGACATAGAGAGATAGACAGAAGCAGGCTGAGAATCAGACAAGGGGTCTTCAGTGACTTGTCACCAGGACAGAAGAGGAACTCCTGTGTTGCTGTCATTTTTCAACAACCTGGAGGATGTATTTCATATGGTTACTCACCACAATTCTCCTTCCAGGTGCTCCACTGTGGTCCCCAGCAGGCCTGTGTGAGAATCCCACAGAGCACAGCCAGAGAAGCAGACCCACTGTGCATGTGTGTACGTGTGTGCACATGCACAGGTGTGCTGTTAGAGGTGTGTGTGTGTGTGTGTGTGTGTGTGTGTGTGTGTGTGTGTGTGTGTGTGTGTATGTGTGTAGATATAAGATATGCATGGATTTGTGGCAGTGAGTTGACTAAGTTTGACATCTTGTTAAACAGCTACTTAGGGCTGCTGTCTGAAGAAAGGTTTCTGAGAAGTTAGGGGAGGAGAGCACCCCAAGTGTGAGCTGGAATTCTAGGACAACAGTCCCAGGTGCCTCATGCTTGTGCCTGTGACCTGAGAGGGGGAAGGCCCCTCAGGGAATGCTTAGCCCAGAGAGGGAACGTGGGCAACCTATTTCACATCCCCATTGCCTCCAGTCCCCGGGCCCTTCCCAGTCTCCAGTCCTGGTAGTGATGCCAAGGAGTCTCCAGGGGCTTTGGTGGGGCCACAGTGGCCCATGCAGACCCAGCTCCATCTCTTCATCCCCACCCAGGCCAAGCCTCCAGCCCGGAGAGATGTGGAGAGATTCTCAGATCAGGAAACCGCTGGGGAGAGCTTTAAAAAATGCAATTAGAGGGAAAATAATTAAATCCAATTAAAAACAAGCCATGAGGGGAATTCTGGGGACTCCTGGCCCGCTGCTATTTTCTACTGCTTTTCCGCTGAACGCCCAGCCGCCCCGCCCGCCCTTGGCAGCCTTCCCGGTGCTCACCAGCGAGACTTTTAAGGTGGAACAAAGGAAGTCAGGGGCCCACAACACCTGTGCTTCCCTCTCCACGTCCTGCCCCCTACTGCCCTTTCCTGCCTCCTGGGTCACCTCCATGTCACCCCTTCTCCCTTTGGGGTGCCTAGTAAGTCCTGCTCTCCCCCAGTCAACCCCAAAGCAAAGAAAGTATCTGAAATGCATTCACTCAGGGCTGCCTCCAGATCCTCTGAGTTTGTGACCTTCATTCTGTGGCATCAGAATGAAGGTCACAATAATAACCCGGGTGCCTGTTAAATGGATTTACTGACCCCAACCCATCCTGGCTGATGGATCTTGCGACTGAATTTATGGGTAGCCCCAGGCAATGCTGGTGGCTGGTGGTCTTAGTCCAGAGCCCCCCTTTCGGAGAGGATTAACCTTGGGCACAGAGAAAAGCCTGGCCCGAGGCTGCACAAGAGCCTGCAGCACTGGGATGGCCGCTGTGGAGGAACCCCAGGCAGGGGTCAGCACCCAGGGGCCGGTGAGGAAGGCAAGAATGCCTTCTGGGTCTGAGGGCCTGCGTAGGAACCATCTTGCTGGGATGGGCTTTCTCAGGAATCTGGCTGCATTCATCCCCTGAAACATTCATTCTCAGGTGGGGCCCAGCTGCTTGCCAGGTGGGGACTGAATTCTGGGCCGAGTTCCATGAGGCGATCTCCCCAGGGCCCAGCCCAGAGCAGGCCTGCGTCAGCGACACGGAATTGTTCAGGGCCGTCAGCAGGACAGCCGCAGAGGGATTGGCTCCTGCCAGATCATTTGCACACCCAGAGCAGCATCTGGCCTTTTGCATGACAAGCTCCTAGTCCTGGGGGCTGAGATGGAAGCCCTGCAGTGGGAGCGCTGAGGGGTCCAGACTGCCCCCAAATAGTGCTCCAAGGTCATTGCTGACCAGAAATCTATTCTTTGAGAGAGAGCAGTGCCTGGAGGAGGCACCATTTTTATTTAAAATGTTAATGTTAAATGGAGAATAAATACCAACAATAACAATAAAGGCCAAATGCTTAGCACTTTAAGGAAGTCCCCAAACATCCCTTTCATTCCCACTCCAGGACCTCTGTCCTCCATCTTCCAGAGACAGCTGTGCACAGACAAGCATCTGTGTGACCACATGCTGCTCAAGTATGCACGTTTGTATGATCTCATGATTCCAAGTGAGTGTGAGTATGCGAGT